TGTAGGTCTGTGAGCGGAGAGGTGATGGCAGGAGGGTGAGCTAGAGTTGAGGGGCTGCCTTTGTCAACACGGCGGACGTGGGAAGGTTAGCTGACCACAGCCTTGTGCCTGGAGAGCGGTGCTGACTGCTTTTCTACAGAAGATTTTGAATAGACTGCCAGGTGCAGCCGCGCCTTGTCTGCACCTGCTGCAAAGTGGCAAAACTGCTAAGAGAGAGAGAGGAAGGAACCGTGTCTCAGGTGGCTCGATAATGAGGGGAGATGTCATTGTAGGCAATTAATACTCACCGCTGAGAAAAACCGAAGCTGTGAGTGGAGCCGTGTAAACATGTTTTTCTGACTGTTCGCACGCTGCTTTCAGGGCGTTAGGGTGTCCTGCACTAAGTCCCAGAATGCCTGAATAGTCTGTTTTGTTCGCGTTTGGGTATTTTTTCAAATGAATGATGTGCTAAAAATAAAAGGGGGCAGACTTGGTTTTGGTATTGGTGAGCGTGTTAAAATGCAGATTCTCTGGCCCTGCCGCCGCCGCATGTTCTGATTTAGTGGATCCGGATGTGCCCCAGGGATCAGCAATTTTAAATGAGCCGTGTAAGTAGCTGTAATGCAATTATCCTTTGAGCTACCTTTTGAACCCCACCTAGAAAACACTGAAGTAGCGGAAATCTGGGTGGGAGTATCTACTATATTAATAAAAAGTAAATTTCCCAAATTACCTTTAGCAAAATTATTTTCTAATCACTGGTTGGGTGATTGTTTTTGAGTGGCATGTACATTTAGATATTTTTCTAAAATGGGATTCTTGTCATTTTTCCTTTTTATGCCTTATATTAATTGTATACGTTGCCATCAATCTAGAAGCTTCATTTTAGTCATCTTTATCTGCTAGTTACATGTGTTAATGTTTTATAATTGCACGTTACACATGCAATTTATTAAGGTAAAATTTTAATTTTATTGTATTTAAATGAATATATGTAATTTTATCATGTCCAAATGAATACCTGTAGTTTAAAAATAAAAGGTTTGTGCATATTCAAAGTAGCATTGTTCCAAACAGTCCTCAAAAGTGGATACGTTTGGTTTTTGTTTCCAGTGGTACTTTCTAATATAGAAGTTGGAGCATATTTTAGATAGTACTTTAATCTCTAACACGTTTAAATATACATTATCTCGTTTTATTGGATACTTCTCAGAAGTGGGGCTATTGAGGTAACTGAAGTTCAAAAAGCTTACATGACTAATACCACACTTGTTAAGTGAACAAGGTTGAACTGGACCCCTCGTAGGCCCCGTTTTCTTCTGTGCAGTACATCTCTGTATGCCTGCTTCTTTGGGGTATAGAAATCTGAGGGAGACCCAGGAAAATTAAAAAAGTGCAACTAAGATGGTTCTCTTTTGTTGGGGGGGGGAGGGGGAAGGAAGCCCAATAAAGCATAAAGGGAAGAATTCGATTTAAAAAAGAAAACACCTGGGGCACCTGGGTGGCTCAGTTGGCTAAGCGTCCGACTTCAACTCAGGTCACGATCTCACAGTTGGTGGGTTCGAGCCCCGCGTCAGGCTCTGTGCTGACGGCTCAGAGCCTGGAGCCTGTTTCAGATTCTGTGTCTCCCTCTCTCTCTGACTCTCCCCCGTTCATGCTCTCTCTCTCTCTGTCTCAAAAATAAAAACGTTTAAAAAAAAATGTTTTTTAAATAAAAAAAGAAAACACCTCCATTTAAAAGAAAGCATTTAAGGACAGGACTATATCGACTATGTCTCCTTGCAGTGAAAGCATAAAGTTATTTTTGAACACTTAAAATGATAGGCATTTGTATATCTCATACTCCGTTTTCTTATAAATTAAATGCGAATGGGCTTTGTAGTCTGGAAAGCACTAGAAACTAAAGACCTAGTGCATACAAATGATATGGCAAGTTAATCTTCCTGTAAAGAAGTAATTTTAGTCAGATGTATTTTTAAATCTTTCTAAATGCATTTCTGAGGTGGCATGAAATCAAAGAATACATAGAGCTCCCCTGCGCCCAGCCCCCAGTGGAAAGTCAGATCTTGAGACTCAAACAGTGCTGTTCCAGTCCATGACCCTGAGGAATTCCCCCAAACCCTGAAGACCCTGAGTTTCTGCTTTAATTGCTCCTTGGTGTGGAATGGACAAGAAATAAGGGTTGTGTGCCCAAAGAGAGGAAACTAAAAGAAGACCCCATCATAAAGCTTGAACTCCAAAGAGCTACGGCCTCAACATGAGAAATGAATCCTACCAGGAATAAGGGGAGAGTAAGAAACTTGCCAGGGAAGGGGAGGGGGGGAAACTCCCTCGAGAATTTGTAACCATGAACTTGTTCCTATAAAGGTTTGCAGGCCAAGTTCATGCCACCTATGCTGGGAAAAGCTTCAAGTGGAAAATGTGATTTATAGCAGACCCAGGTTGGTATGCCCCCAGCTTACTGGTAAAAGCAAACGTCCATCCCCTCTGGAGGAATTTATTTTCAACCCAAACCCTAAAGAAGTCTTCAAGAGCCCGTGCCAAGGAGAATAAGCAGCTAATAGTCAAAAATCACAAAACACAAGGCACCGTGAATGAGATAATAGAAATATAGCCTATAGAAAAAGACCTGTGATAACCTTAGATTCTGAAAATATCAGACATAATTTAAACACGAGACATAGTGAATTTAAATACAAAGGGGTGGGGGGCAAAGATAGGGACACTGACCTGAAACTGTGAAAAGGGAACAAGAGATTTTAAAGAATGATCAAAAAGATTAAAACAGTGTGATAGGATTTCTAGAGATGAAATTAAAAACTCCATGGATGGATTAAATAGCTGATTATATCCAGCAGAAGAAATGATTCCTGAATCAGGCAACCATTTTATGTCTTTTTCTAATCCTCCGATACTTTTCCTTTTTTTTTTTTTTTTAAATGTTTATTTATTTTTGAGAGACAGAGACAGAGACACAGAATCCGAAGGAGGCTCCGGCTCTGAGCTGTCGGCACAGAGCCAGATGCAGGGCTTGAACTCACAGACCCCAAGATCATGACCTGAGCTGAAGTTGGGTGCTTGACCCACTGAGCCACCCAGGCGCCCCACTTTTCCTTTTCTTCGTTTCATACTTCACACTAACAATGTAATCCATATTTATTCACCCATTTGTCTCTGTACCCTCACATTTTGCCTTCCAATGGATTACCATAGATGAACTGTGAACTCTTAATCAAAAGCCAGTCCCTCTCATATATTAGGTCCCAGTTCCTTCTTTCAAGATCGTGTTTTGAGCAAATCTTTTTTCTCTCCTGGATCATTAATTTTTCCTTGTCTGATGGATTGTTACTGTCATCCTAAAACATACTGTTAATTCTATTTTAAAGTTCTGTCTTGACCCACCCATCTTTTCTGGCTCTGCTCCATTTTTCTGTTCCCCTTTATGGAAAAACTCCTCAAAGGAATTATCTTTATTCGTCCTATTCTGGTCCTCTCGCCAGCCTATTCCAGTCAGACTTTTGCCCCTACCTCTCCGAAACTGTTCTTGTCAAGGTCATTAATGTCTGTCTTGTCACTAAAGCCAATAGTTAGTTTTTAAACCTTAGCTTTACCTATAGACAGCATTTTTTCCCCACAGCTCATGGCTTACTCTCCTTGAAAATACCATATTTCTTTGGGCTTTCAGGATACTGTACTTTTCTGATTTTCTTCCTTTCTTTTAGGCTAGCTGTACTAGTATCCTTTGCTTATTTCTCCTCTGCTACTACTGATCGCTAGTTATTTCAGCCTCAGGTTTCAGATCGTGTACTCTTTTCCCTCTCTATCTTAGTTCTCTCATTTGGTTTCTCAGCTTTAAATACCACCTATATAACTGATTGTCAAAATCTCCAGAACAGGATTCTCAGCTTTAGATCTGGATAGGCGGGGCACCTGAGTGGCTCCTTTGGTTAAGCGTCCCACTTTTGATCTTGGCTCAGGGCATGATCTCACGGTTAGTGGGATGGAGCCCCTCATTGGGCTCAGTGCTGACAGTGTGGAGCCTGCTTGGGATTCTCTCTCTGCCTCTCTCTCTCTGTTCCTCCCCTGCTCTGTTCTCTTCTCTCTCAAAAATTAATACTAAAAAAAGAAAAACCTTGGAATTTCCAGAATAATCGGAATGCCTTTTGTTATTTATAATGAGCCCCTTTTATTTATTTATTTTTAATTTTTTTTCAACGTTTTATTTTTATTTTTGGGATGAAGGAGAATAGACATGAACGACGGGAGGGGCAGAGGGAGACAGAGAATGGAACAGTTTCCAGGCTCTGAGTCGAACAGACCAGCTCGACGCGTCGGCCTCGACCATGCAGATCGCGTCTGGCTGGTCGACGCTAACTCATTTCATGCCACCAGGCTTCCACGACAACAACTGTTCGTTCAATCTGAACCATGGAGCCGGACTCGGATCGGGACCTTGGTTGTCCTATTTGGGTCAACAACGGGCTCATCCTGAAACCAATGACCTGATCACTATTTATAGCGCGGAACCCCCTTTCAGATCACCTCAGTGTGGTAATGATCATCAGACACACCAAGTGATTAGAGGGTTGGAATTTTAGCCCCACCCATGACCACTGGGACGGGAAGAGGGATGCTGGAGACAGAGTCTGTCGAAAGCTCTGGGGCTGCGTGGCCTGACCGGGTGAGCGTCTGACTCCGCTCAGGTCATGATCTCACAGTTCCTGAGTTCGAGCCCTGAGTCGGGCTCTGTGCTGACAGCTCAGAGCCTAGAGCCTGCTTCAGAATCTGCCTCCCTCTCTCTCTGCCCCTCTCCTGCTAGCACTCTCTCTCAAAAATAAACATTAAAAAAATTTTGAAAAATATAAAAGCTCTTAAAACAAGATGGATGAGCCTCCAGGTGGGCGAAACATAGACTTTCTGGGAAGGGGCTCAGAGGCATGGAAGCCCTGAACTTGCACTCCCAGTAGCTTTCCCTCTGCACCTATTCCATTTGGTGCTTCCTGAGTTGTATCTTAACAATAAACCAGTAGATATAAGGTAAGTGTTTCTCTGGTTCTATATGCCATTGCAAATTACCGAACTTGAGAGTCATTGGAACCCCCAGTTCATAGCCGGTCAGTCAGACGTACAGGTGGCCTGGAGCTTGGCAGTGATACCTAAAGTGGGGATCGTGGTGTGTGACTGAACCCCTAATCTGTGAGGTCTGCTCTAACTCCAGATAGCATCAGAACTGAATTGGGCACCTAGTTCGCGTTGGAGAGTGGGAGAATTGGTTGGTGTGAGAAAACACCAGGTTCCAGTAAAGGCCAGAGTCTTAAAATGGTCTCCTATTTCTCCTTTTTACATACGACATAGTCCTTGTCCTATTTTCTCAGGAACTTCAGGTGAGCATACTGCCTCAGGGCATTGAGCTTTGTATTCCCAGTGCCTGGCATGCGTTCCCCCACGCCCCCACGTAGCACACCCCCACATGGCGCCGGCTTGTTCCTTTTCCCCCTTGAAGTATTACCAAAATTTGCCAAAGTTTCACTGAGACCTTTTTAAATTATACTTTCTAAAATAGTAGGAACTCAGTTCTGCACTGATGGTCTCCATTCCCTAGTTTTCCTGTCCCTTTATTACCATCTGGAAGCCCCTGGAGGGCAGAGATTTTTGCCTTTTTTTTTTTTTCCTTCTACTTCTGCATCCTCAGCACTTAGAACAGTGCAAGGCTCATGTTAGGTAGGTCCTCAAATAGGTTGAATGAATGAATGAATAAATGAAGGGAAAATAAATGCAAATTCAGAATGAAGCCCAGAAAAATAATGGGATAGTAAATTTTAAAGAGAGCTTATGAGACATGGTCTAATTTGTGTGATTGGAGTTCCAGAAGAATGTAATTGAGTGGGGAAAGCGGTACTGATTCCTGCAGGTCAGTATGAAAAAGACAACCCAGTAAAAAAATGAAAAAAAGGGGCATCCGGGTGTCTCAGTTGGTTAAGCGTCCGACTCTCGGTTTTGGCTCAGGTCATGATCTCATGGTTTGTGGGTTCAAGCCCTGCATTGAGCTTCGTGCCGGCAGTGTGGAGCCTGCTTAGGATTCTCTCTCTCTCCTCTTTCTGCCCTTCCCCAGCTCTCTCTCTCTCTCTCTCTCTCTCTCTCTCAAAATAAATGAACTTTAAAAAATCTTTAAAAAAAGAAAAATGAGAAAGGACAAACAGGTATTTCACACAAGGAGCAATTACAAATGTCTTATGAAACATTATACCTCATTAGTACAAAAATCAGATACCCTTTCATTCTTACTAGATTGGCAAAAATTACAATATCCAATATTGGTAAGGAGATAATTCAGCAGTAATTCCATCTGCTGTTGGATGGGGTTGTGAATTGGTAACCTATTTTGGAAATAAGCTATAGTAATTCCACTTTAAGCATAGAAGCTGGAGAAACTCTTATACATATACGTAACGAGATCATGACAAACCTTTGTGTAGCATTATTTAGCTAAATCTGGAAACAACCTACATATGTTTTGTATTAGTTTCCTGTTACTGCTCTAACAAATGACCACGAACTTAGTGGCTTAACGTGGGTTTCACAGGGATAAAATCAAGGCTGCCTTTTTTTTTTTTTTTTTTTTTTGGAGGCTCTAGGGGAGAATCATTCCTTGCCTTTTCCAAGCTTCTAGAGGCTGCGGTGCTTCTGGCATGTGGCCTCTTCTATCTTAGAAGCCAGTAGTGTAACATCTTCCAGGTCTCTCTCACACTCTTGTCTTCCTCTTTCAAGGTTCTTAGTATTGAGTCCACCCAAATAATCTAGTATAATCTTACCATCTCAGGATCCTTAACTTAATCATGTCTGCAAAGTCCCTTCCACCGCATACAATAACAGATTTACAGGTTTTAGGAATTAGGGTATGGATATCTTTGGGGGGCATCATTCTGCCTACCTTATGGGTCAACAGTAGAACAAATACATTATGATATCTTCATGTAATGTAATATTTACAGCAGGGAAAATGAATGAGCTACTAGAAAACTCATTATTTTGGGTAGATGTCAAAATGTTAGCAAAAGAAGTATGTTACAACATAATTCCCACAATAGATTCCATTAATATTAAAGTTCAAAAATGAGCTCTTAAGTATATTGCTTCAGGATATATATCACATGTGATGAAATTACAAAGAAAAATAACAAAAATAAGATATTCTACCTCCGTGAGGAGGAAGATGAATGTAATTAGAAAGGGACTTAAAAAAATAGCTGTATTTGTATTTTTTAAAAAATTTTGGTGATATACAGGTTTTTGTCTTAGTAGTTGTCTTTAAGAGTTAGAAGTAGGTATGTGACAATTTTGTATACCTTACCCCAACCCCTACCACAATTAAAACATCTTTAAAAAATAAACTGTGGTGGTTTACTAACTAAAAATAAACAATTTAAGAAAAATTTATACGAAAGAGAAATATCTGGATAAAATATTTTTAAAACATAGGAAGCTTTTGGTTCTTATTTCTACCCCCCCCCCATCCCTATTACTTAGAATTTGAGGTTTTATAAATAGTAAGCTTGAGAAATGGAGTGAATTTCAGTAGAGTTGGTGACAGGATCTTAGTAACTAGGATAGTAAAGCATATGGAATTCTAGAGCTAAAATTCTCGTTAATGATCCTTTGTTCTTTAAAGAGAGTGTACCTCTGAGTCTTTGTGTTGTAGAGAGTTTGGGGACTTATTTACAGCCCTAGGGGCAAAGCCTGAGAAAGAAACAACTGGGATGTTCTGGTTTCCAGGTTCTGGTCATTCTTTGCATAGATTCCTCCAGTGGATCATGTGAATGACCTTTAAAAGACTGGGTCCCCAAAGCAGGAAAGAACATCCAATGGAAAAAAGACAGTATCTTTAACAAATGGTGCTGGGAGAACTGGACAGCAACATGCAGAAGGTTGAAACTAGACCACTTTCTCACACCATTCACAAAAATAAACTCAAAATGGATAAAGGACCTGAATGTGAGACAGGAAACCATCAAAACCTTAGAGGAGAAAGCAGGAAAAGACCTCTCTGACCTCAGCCGTAGCAATCTCTTACTCGACACATCCCCAAAGGCAAGGGAATTAAAAGCAAAAGTGAATTACTGGGACCTTATGAAGAT